GTAGTCAGCTGACAAACTTTTTGCTTTATATGCTGAGTCAAAATTCGAGGAAAGTAGCTCTCATTTAACTTTTGTAGCAGCCATTCAAGAAGCAAGCAGTACTATTTCCTTCTGATAAACATACTACTATTTTACATTGCCTCATGCCTAATCCTAAATACTTAATTGTTTCCTATGAACTCATACTAGATACATGGTAATCCTTTTGCTAATAAAGAGAGTGAAGCCCCATGAAACAGATTTTTTGACAGAAAGGAGAATAATTAGAGGCTTACTACTTAATTGTCACTAATGACAACATTCTACTTCCCTGAAAAAAGCACTGAAAGTGTTTGCTGATTTCCATGATATAAGAGCAATTGCCAATTATATAACTGATGTCTACTTTTATCTTTTTTATGATTCTGCGCAATGATTTCTACCAGAATATGCTATCTTTTTGGAACTAAGGAAAACTAAGTGCATGTTCTCATTCTAACTTTAATGTTACAGAAATCTATGATTTAGCCATAAAACACAGTAATAATTTCATTTAATTTTTGCAAACAACCTGAAGGCCCATCTAGCCTGTATGGTTCTCTGTGTGGCTATAAGGACACAGTTCTTCTATCCCCAATGGAACTTGTCATTTAGCTATAGTTTTTTAAGATTCTCACCACTTTTCTGAATTTCCAGTACCAATCTGTGTCTTGTAAACAAAGAATACCATTAATTGATATTGTGGATAAAATGCATTTTCTGGATAATACTGTCCTGAAAGATTGCCTCTCACTGTCCCAGTGAGCAGTACTCTCCGAAGTGCACTTTGCAAAAAGAAACATCACAACTGTGTATATTTGCATTGGCACACACTGTAGAAATTTATTTACCAGATCTGTATAGGGAATAAAAACTTAATTTTCCTTTTCTTTTTCTTTTTGACAGTTCAAAGTTGCTTATACCTACACTATACAATAAGCACTATGTAAAGCAAAGGTGAGATTTTAATGCCTAGAAAAATTAATACAAAAATTGGGTTGAGAAAGGTTGCATGGAAGTGGCTACATAACAACTCCACTCAGACTCTGAGCATCACCAATATGAACTAGGCATTTTGTCTGCAAATCAATACAGTTGTGTCAAGCTGGAGCCACCATCTCAGTAAAGGCTAAAAATGGAGCCAGGATGCCAGAGCACAGTACTGTAGAGCTGGGAAAAATCTCACCTCTGTTAATCTGAAATTTGGCAGGTCAGACCCCTCCCACAGAGCAACAGAGTGAGAAAACTCAGTCCTTAGTCTAGTTTTATAAAAGCAACAGAAAGAAATGCAGGAAGTCATTGTAGTATGAAAAGAGAGCGTTTTGGGGCTCATTATGCTATAAAAAATGTCAGTAGAGGAATTCACATACAAGGGCACCCAGCCACCACTGTGGCAGGTGCCATACAGAACTGGCAGAAATCACAGTGCTGCTGCTTATCCTGCAAGTGAGCTTGTGCACATACTGATCTCATTTGCTTATAACTTTTCCAAATATAACTGTTTGGGCTGAACACATGCCTGGTGTGTGTGCCTCAGGTTGTTTTTTTTCTTTTTGGCTCTATGTTTCTGGTTTAGGGTTTTGACATTTTCAACTAGCACCATTTAATCACTTCACAGAGTGAGACCAAACAGAGAATAAGTTGCTTTGCTCTATAGAGATATCTCAAATGGAGACATACACTTTAGCAAGGGAGTAACTGTGTCAGAGATGTGCCTCTTGCTTCCCTGTCCCAAACTGAAAAAGTTTAAGGTACCTTTGAAAAGTCAGTAATTTTCATACTTATAAGAATCTAGCCAAAGGTTCAGAAGCAAGCATCTTCCCAAACTGTGCATCACTCAGCATGCCAAAGTGTCCCTCAGCTCCTAGAGTATCAGGCTCTAGTGAAACTGCCAATCTCAGGAGAGACAGAGCATCCTCCCCATTTTTTGCTGCTGCTGCTCCTGCTGCTGCTGCTGGAAGAACTCTAAGCTGCTCTCAAATGGGGACTGAGCTGGCCCTGCACAGCAGCCAAGGGACAGAGAGCCAGCTTTTCTCTAATTACTAATCCCAAGTACTCTGTGTACTGGAGCTAGTCAAGTGAGCTTGAGCTAGGCATCTGGCCCTGGGGGAAGATGGAGGCAGAAGGGCACTTGGGTCTGGGTCCGAGACTGAGCCTAGCAGAGACTATTTTATAAAATTAGTTTTAATGTTTCGGTTTTTTTCTTTTGCACATAGAACAACATAGCTGTATGTTGAATCAAAGTAAAGGTATTTAGACCTTTTTCAAGCTGTACATAGCCAGAGCAAAACTTTGTATTATATGCACTGGAACAGGGTGCCCAGGGAAGTGATTAAGTCCCCATCCCTGGAGGTATGTAAAAGACACTTAGATGACACTTCGGCTTAGTGGTGGACTTGGCTGTGTTAGATTAATAATTTGATCTTAAGGGTCATATTCTACCAAAGTTATTCTGTGATAAACCCTGTCCTCCTCCCTCCTCACCAGCCCTCTCTAAGAGGCTGAGCAGAAGGCTTGGCATATCCATGTGCAGCCACACAGCCTGGGCCATGCTGTGAAAGGAAATGACCACAGAGACACAAAGGTTTAATAGGTAAATTGGAATAGACTATGCAAAAGGAGTGGGGAAGAGGGGAGAGACTTGAATCAGGGCAAGAGGGTAGGGATGAGAGCAGGAAGTTGGGACTGGTTTGTTAAGGAAAAAGGGACTGAATTAGGGAGAGGTGGAAGGGAAACAAAGGTATTCTGGTTTGAACTGTAGCTGCAGGGTACATGAGTAGGATTTGCTAAATATTGAGCCTAGAAATGAGAGACATGAAGCCTGAAAGCTGGAATTTGGTATAAATAATAGGATATGTCACAGAACCAGACATGAGGAAGACCCAGGATGGGGGCAAAAATGAGACACAGAGAGAGGATTTAGAAGTGACAGGAAGGAAAAATCCATGCTTGGGGATATGATAAGAAAGTGTCAGTACCTCATTGGCTCTGGAATTTGGACTGTCACCATGACTCTAATTGTCACCACTCTCTGCTCTTAACAAGCAGATGTGAAGTCCAGAGGCAAAGTATGTTTATCTTCTTTCTTATGAACTGTCTCATTGGAAGAAGAAGCACACACTGCTATTAGCAGTTGTTCACATGGCAAACATCCCTTCAGGGGAGGTAAGAGTTCCAGTACCCTGATAAGACACATTGGATTCATATGGCAGGCTTTTGATTTTGAGATCGCTATCATTTTGTAAAAAAATCAGATTTATACACACAGAAAGTCCTGCATTAAGGCATCTGCCTGAATATTTCAATGGTGAAGACTAAAGAACTAGATGTCAGGCTAAGGTTACCTGTACCTTGTGGGTAGGCATGGTACAATCCTTTCTTACTTACTGGATTGCACAGAGTTTGCTCCAGAAGAAAGAACCATTTTTCAGTAAGGAGTATCTAACTTAAGATTGTGAGGTGGAAATATATAGTGACAAAGACCCCTGTAGTTCCCTTGCACTCTGCATCTGCTGCACAAGCTGGAAAGTGTGTGGGAAGAGGGGTGTAAATGCAAGAGGCAGTAGCAGATGTGAAAACATTTGCCTCCTGTTATAGAAGTCATTGCTTCTAGGAGAAACTTAATTTGACCAGCTCTCCTATGACACTTCTCTCAACTAACTCTGCTATGAGACATCTAAGAGATACTAAGTGAATTTCTAGAACTAAACTATTTTTTTCCCCTGTAGGCTTACCTCCCCACCCTACTATGCTTAGATTTGTACAAGTGACAAGTGCCTATGGCTGGTATTGAAACTAATGAGAGCTGGACCTGAATATATCACCACTGGGAGAGGAAGAGCTGACAAAATATTGATGAGGAGAAAGAAAGTCCTGTAGTGCATGGCACTATTCAGATAGGATTGTGCTGTACTCCTTTAAGATCAGCATAAAAAAGTAACCAGACTTTTTATGGAGGTAGATATATAACACAGTTATAGGCATCATTCAAAGCAAGCAAAGAAACTTCTTTTAGAATGGTTTGAATGCTATAAGAGAAATAGGGCTGTCAGTATAATAATATATAAGATTACATCAAATAAACATGTGGCTCTGTCTGTTACTAATGAAATAATATGCTAGACCCTCCTCCCTCAATTAGGTAACTGCTCAGATAAGAGATGGGTAATAATATGAATTTTCATAATAATGTCCTCAGACATCTCAAATTAGGGCCCCTTTGACTTTAATATCTTTGTGCCTCAGTAAAGAATGTGGACAATAATGGACAATAATACTCCTGTTGTGAAGGCTATTTTGAAGATAAATATATTAATGCTTGAGAAGCCCTTAGGAAATACAGGAATGGGTGTCACAAAAAAAAATCCACAAGGAAATGAATGATTTCATCTTCATATCAAGGTTCTAATCATGTGCAGTAAGTATGGCCTGGGGGCACAGCCTACACAGAAAAGGTAAACCAAAATATCGAATAGCTCCTCATTAAGTGAACACCATTTATCCTGTGCAGCAAGTGAGACAGAGATCCTGTGGAAAAATGTAATGTGAATAGATAATTAAAGATTGTATCATAATGCACACACAAAATAGGGGTGAAAAGTTTATACTGGTGACTTAATTTTGACATCTCATAATTCCTGAAAGCATGATTCTGCAGCTTCAGTAGTGGTGTCACATTTTTAACAAAATTTTTTACCTGTCACTGTATTCGTGTTGCTTTAATTATCATCTGCTCATTTCTGATATTAGGCTTGTTTGTGTGATGCTTTTCTTTCTCTAATCCCCTGTATTTAGAACACATTGTCCAGATATGAAAACCTTTGCAGCCTGACCTTGAGGAAGAGTAAGAGTTTGTGTAATTTAGATTAGTGCAGTAATTGTTTGGCCCAGATGCCAGAAACATCCCCAAGGGTATTTAACATTCATTCAGAAGATGTAGCTGTTGCTTTTCAACTTAAGGTCAGGACAAAAGCACAACTTACAGCCAAAAGAACATGCTGCAGTTCTTGTCTGGGAGGTGGCAGTTGCAGGTGTCTGGGGCACCACCAAGCAGCTGCCTTCAGAAATGTCACCCGGCACAGTCTGGGAAGTCTGGGCAGCTTTCTCCAACACACAGTCTGCAAAAACCAGGCCAAATCAAGACCATAAAAATGTACATTTGCACTCCTGACATGGAACAACAATCTTTTTGGTTTTCTCTAACTCTAGCTGTCTGATAAAGCAGATCATTTAGTCACTTCTTTTTTGACACCTACTCATTAATAGATCATGGGCTACACATGGGATCAGTGCTGCTGTTGAGAATTATTTGTTTCTCCACTTTGGGCACTCAGTTCTGAAGTGGAATGAAGTTTCATTATAGACCAAATGCGTGCTGCACATTGTATATAGTCAAGCCCAAAAACCACCTAAGTGAAACTAAAAGTAAAGAGCCATCCAAGAAGGATTATAGGATTATATCCTTAAATCCATAGTGAGATACATTAGAAAGTGATGTACACTGTTTTCTCATTTTCATCTGCAGGCAATAGAATGGATTACCTAGCCACGAATTTCCATCATTTAATTCCTTGTGTGCTATGTGATGCGGGAAACATCACAGCAAATTTCAGTGAGAACTGATGGAGAGTGAAATCAAAGCTGGGCTTATATGAAACGAAGAGCTTCAACGTCTCTCCTGAAAGATGAAATAAAATCACAGACAAAATGACCATTACCAGCCAGAAAAACTACAATGCAGTCTTCTGACTGACTGTATCACTAAGTTAACACTAGCAGTGGTGCAAGCCATGAATTCACTGAGAACTGCAGTACTCCAGAGACTTCAATGATTGCTGAAAAGGAGATAGAAACAAAGTTGGCCAGGAGAGAGTAAAATTTGCCTGGCCACAGCAGAAAAGCAGCCTTGCCAGGGTTGGGTCACTGAAACCATGAGTACTTCCCTGTGAGTGAGGCACCACCAGCAGCAGCTGCCTTTGGTCTGTGCCTCCCCCTGTGCCTCTGGTGCACCATACAGTGCTGTTGGGTGGAGGGACACCATTTCAGGGGATTAAGCCAATTTCAAGCCTTTCTGCTGACATGCTACCCTACACAGCAGTACTATCCTGCAACCACCATGATCTTTATGCAGAGACAGGGATCTGCTTGCAAATGTCTGCTGTGAGCTGGAGGTGGCCAGGCTTGGAGCTGCAGCCATGACTGCTGGGCCTGGGCTTCTTTCTCCCTTATGGCCCTCATAAGTGCTTCAAACCACTCCCAGCATTGGGCTGCCTTAGGACACACACTGCCTTCCCCAGAGACAGTCCTGAAAGCAGCTCTTTAATCCAGCTATTTTCATCCAGGGAGATATAGATTCCATGCCTGCTCTGACTGATTTCAGAGGCTCTGACAGCTCCACCTTGCATTGGTTGCTAATGGATAGACCCCTCCATGCCTGTGGCTGCCCTCTCTGCTAATGAAGCGGGAGATGAAAGCACATGGTACCATCACACACTACCTGAGGCTGTGTCATTCTGGCACTAGAGGTATCAAGACAAGTTCAGCATTGTTGGCTACTGCAGCAATCAAACAAGTGTTGGGGAGAGTGAGGTGAAAACTACAGCTCTTTCCCAGTTTGATCAACATCACCTTTGCCTCTGCTCGTACCATTTGAACAAGAGTGATGACGCATTGATATCCCTACACCGTTGGCTCAGGCAGGGCTGTAAGGATTTTAATGAAAAATTATATTGCAAATACTTTCTAGGTACTAGGAAGGGATAAAGAGAGGTTAATTATTTGGGGACCAGCTGAGGCATAGTACAGTCCAAAGTCAGCTGCAGGACACTGCTGAGACTGTTTGGGAGACTCTATAGGCATGTTGACTTGTCGGGCCATAAATAACGAGGGATGGGACCACCGTGCCATTTAGATGGTTTATTGCCCAAATAAATCAGGTAAGAGATCAGCCTCAAAGGTATGAGATTTGGAGAGAAGCAACAAGTCAGCCATAGCTCAAAGGTAGTCGCTAGTTTCTTCTTCACACAGCAATATATAACATTTCGGTCCAATAGACAGTTAACATGAAGTTTGTTTTTTATTACTAATCTATCACTTTTGCTAAATTCTGCCGCACTCATCTGATCTTCCTGCAATAAACACGTACACACACATCTCTATTATAACTTCTTAGTCCTGAGTCTGCTCTATAGATCACACTATTATATTTCAAAACTCTTCACTATCCTACCCAACACAATTTCTTACTTAAGGCATATTCTTACAAATATAAGAACATAAGTTTATGATTTCTCTGCTTAATGTCTGTGTACTTTTATCACTACATTAACCCCAGCTCTTTCCAGGGCTGCAGATCAAACCCTTCAGTATCTGTGGAAGTTTCTATTTATTCATTTCCCACATTGACTTAGTAGTTTTGCTGCTCCAGTGGGAAACACAGAAATTACACTGTGTTATGCAGTGATGGTGCCCAATTTATGTATCTATCAGACCTGGTGTTTTTCTGAGGAATCTCCTTTCCCTAAAAAGCATTACATGGTGGAGAAGCAAACAAGGTCAGATTCCAAAAGAAGGAAACTTTTTAGCTTCCCACCTGTAGGAAACTAGAAACCTTATTGACTGAAGGCCACACATACACAACACCTATGACCCACAGGGACATGATGCCAAAGACAGTATAGCTGAGTAATTAAATGGTAGTTGAAACTCAGAAATCATCACAGCCTATAATTTCAAATCACTAAAAGCACTAGGGAATACCTCCCCTCCTCTACACATAAGAAAACAAATTATTTATTGATGTGCTCAGTAAAGTCTGGATTCACACAGATGCAAAAATATCTAATGTATTTGATATCTGAAGACACTCAGTAATTAAATATGTCTGTTTTGTCATACAAATAAAAGCAGCAGCTTTATAGCATGTTAGAAGAAGTCAAAGGCAATAAAAGTAATTCAGTCTTTTTGTTAATGTTACATATTATAGGCTTCAAACTTTCTGAGGAAGTATAAACATTACCATTCAATCAGCTTTGAAGAAATAACTCAGCAAAACTAACAATATCAAGTATGCTTTTGTTTCTTTTCCTCTCTAAGGTGTGATTAAGAGCAACCAAGCTGGTCTTGCTCCCTCTTCTTACTTGAACTCAGTATTATTGATAGGTGGATCTGTATGCTCTGTACAACCTGTCTGTAAGTCTTGTCTGTTCAATATGCCATGTAGCTAAATGTAAAATATGAGTGGGCATAAAACTTGCTGCCGAGGCAGTGCTCTGTCTAATGATGGCACACTGGGGTTTATCTCTCTCTTTTTAATTCACTGCTTGCATTTAAAAATTGCAAGCAATTCTATCAGTTATAAAGCAGCTGAACCTGTTCAATCTTATCTCAGAATTTTCATTTTCAGATAAAAACCTGTGTAACACTCATAACAAAGCAGATTTCTACAGTCAAATAATACATTCCAGAGCATTGCTGTGGAGAGCTGAAATTATCTGAATTATTTCAGTCACCATTACTGTTATATCAACATAAACCACTTCAATATACTCTTAAGCAATACAACTTTTCTTACACATACACCCAGCAATAACAAAGCCTATCACACACTGATTACAGCAGAAACTATGAAAAAGCTCTTTTTGCTATTAAAGATGAAAATAGTCCTGTGAAAGACTTGCAAACAATTCCCAGATTTTCTCGTTCCTGTAAGTGCATGTTTTTATGTGAATTTGGGCTGGATATGTTGGTTTCCAAGGGCAGTATATGAAAAAGTTGGGTCTACTTTTAGACAGCTGCTTTGTTATTTCAGGCAAATACCTGCGCTGCCAAGGCAGGGCCTCAGTGTCACAGGTATGGCATGTTCCCATTGTCAGGGTAAAAGGGAATGACTGTGACAAATGAGGAGCTTTTCCAGCTAATTCATTTTGTGTGTAGTCGTCTCAGAGCCAAGAGGCTCCAGCTGGGACCGGTGCCTGATTACACTAGAAACTGTACCCAGTCAGACAGCCTCCTTCACTGAGCACCTTGGGGGCGTAAGCAGACAATCACACCACTGGTGAAAGAAAAGAACTACAGTTGTTCCTCTTCTGCAAATGAGGAACTAAGTGACACAGCTAAAAAAAGGGCTCAGCCCTCAGCCGGTATAAATTGGCACAAGAGGATTCAGGTCATCACAAATACACCATGTTACAGTAGCTGAAGAAAACACTGGAGTTGAATTTATAATGCCTGAGATAAATATAATGCATCCCAGTAAAATTTAACCATCTGCAATCAGTATAAAGAATGAAATGTACTTAAAAATATTGTACTGCACATGTCTTGTTTAATAAAATCCACAGCATGAAATGATGGTGCCAGCTATCAAACTAGACAAGCACAGAATGGTAACACTGCAAGAAAAACCAGACAGCTCGTTAAAATGTTAAGGTATATAATGTACAATAAGGGACAAAATACACCCACCTTTTCTCAGCAAAAAATTATTTTACTTATAATTTTCTTAGTCCCAAAGTAACTGAAAGACTTGAAGAAATAAACTGTACTTTATAGCAGGGTCTGGAAAGGGGCAATAGAATGCTTCAAGGATTTTTAGAAGGAATTTATATATCCCACTAGATCTTGAAAATATTTCAACAGAAACTTCTGGGTTTTAATTACACATATCAATGTTTTTTCCCCTCATCACCCTTTTACATAAACACTACCTGTACTTTCATTAAACTTAGAAGTGTTTTCCTTTAAAAGAAAACCACTGGATTACCAATGCATTATTTCATGCTGTGACCTGTAAATATAATAAATTTCCATTCTCTTTGCCTTGTCCTCAGAAAACAACAAAGTGAAGGAGGTGTGGAGACTCCATGCCCTGGTTACTCAGGGCCTCACTTCCCTCTACATTTCATTCTGTAGGACACTCCATTTCTATATGCTTGCTCCTGAGCTGGCCATTTCTGGGATCACACTAACTTGTCCCTCTTAGTACACAGTAACTCACTCCCTTGTTACCAGTCACAGAGAGATGATACAGGAAAATTAAAAGAAAACACATGCCTGATGGATGAAAGTGAAGCTCAGGAGAGCTACTCTTCTGTGTTCAAAATTGAAAGGAGAAAGAGGCTTGATATTATTCAAGGCAGTGACTCTCAGGAAAAACAAACAAACAAACAGCATTTTGAGACTAAGGAATTCAATGCAGCTATAAATCCATAAGTAGCAGCTCTAGAGGCAGATTCAAGAAGAGAAATCTAGGACAGGCAAGAAAGATCCACATCTGACCCACTACAAAGAAATGCCATGGTGCCAATAATGGTATGAGAAACCCTAGATTTTATTTTTTGTTAAATGGTATTTAGGAATATACTCAGGTATGTAATTTGAATTTCATAGCAAGTACAAATAAAGTGAAGCTGTAGAAGACTGACAGAAGACGTTCCTTTCTAGTCCTTTAATTCACTTTTATTTTCAGGATTATTTTTGAATGTTTTACATCAGTACTGATAAGGAACACTTCCACAATCCACAGATAGATGAGGAAGTAGAAAGGACAAAAGAAGAGGGGGAAATCTTTACTGTGTGAGAGACTGCAGTAAGGAAAATCTATTACTTGCTACAGAAAGATTTCTCACAAAGTCACCCCACTTGAACCTGTCCCTTCTCCTTCACAGATCTGCAGGCCACGGGAGATACAGTACAACAGAGCCAGACCTCACAGCAGGATTCTTCAGCAAACATTGCACAATTAGCTGAGTACAAGTGTGTCTTCAAAATGGTTATCCATTTCTGTAATGCTGTTTGACAGGCGTGTCTAAAATCTGCTAGGAAGAGCAATATACTCTGAGTGGAATGAAACACTCCACATAATTCTGACAAAAATAGTCCAGGGTATATGGTTCCTCCCTGTAAAACCTGCACCAGTAATGGAGCTGGATCTCTCATCAATTTTATTAAAGGCAAATTTCCTCCTGCCTTGGCTCATCTGGAAAACCTGTCCCTGGTCACCTGCCCTTATTGCTAAGTTCACTTCTGAGAGATGACCTTATCAATGTCTGTCAGTAGCTGAAGGGAAGGTGTCAAAAGGAGAAAGCTGGGCTCTTCTTGGTAGTTCCAAGCAATAGGACAAGAGGCAATGGGCAGAAACTGATGAAGTGCCACCTGAAGATGAGGAAAAACTTCAACCAAACACTGGAGTCCAGAGAAGTTGTGGAGTCTCCCTCACTGGAGATATTCAAGAGCTGTCTGGACACAACCCTGTGCAATGTGCTCTAGGATTACTCTGCCTGAGCAGGGAGGTTGGACCAGATGTCTCACTCTGGTCCCTTCCAACCTGGCTCATTCTGTGATTCTATGTGATTTAATATTTTGCTCTCCCAACATGAGATTATTGCAGTAGCAATCCTAGAACGACATTGTAAATAAAACATGCCAACATATTTTCACAGTCCAAATAAATAACTTCAAGTAAATAAATAACTCAATCACACAAATGTCACTTAGAAGTGCAATTAAAAAGAGACTCTTGCTTTGTGTTATAAAAATATGAAAGAGTGCTCAGTACAAGCTGCTTCACATAATATTTTTCTCTATATTCAGCAACTCTAAGGTCAAAATACTGGAATTACATTTTTCAAAGCCAAAAGAATGGTTTAGTAGTTATTTTATATGAAGACAGCTCTTTTTTTCTACCCTGCATGAAATATCAAATTCAGTATAGCTTGGTACATCCTGCATTTTCATTCATACTTTCATTACAGCTGTGTAAAGTACAATAATTTATTATACATTCTCTTGAATCTTTTTGAAACATCAAGCAAAACATAAAATTCAGAGATAGAGAAAATGAAGCACCAGAAATCTTATGAGAAAAGCAGTATTATGAGAAAACCAGTATTTCCTTTCTTATCTTCCCAGTTCCAGCCATGAACCACAGTGAGCACAGAACAGTGGTGGACATTGGAAAACAAAACTGAACTACAGTATTCTCTGCACCTTCCACATGTACTGTGCACTAGTACAACAGTGATAAAATCTGAGTGTCACCAGTTCTCCTCTATGATAATTACTCAAGCAATAGATAGCTTTCTAAAGAGAACCAAGTGTCTCAGAAATGCACTCTGCTGGCAGAGTCAGTAATATATTGGAGAGGAAGGACCCATTGGTTCTCATATTCTTTGCTGACCTTCAGTTCAACAGTCTATCATGTCTAAAGAGCAAAGTCTGGGCCTTCAATGCTCCTCTGCCTTGCCTCAGCCCAAATGACATAATTTTTCACAGAGCTTTGGGTGAATTATTTACACAAGGCTCAAACCAAACACAAATGCCAAAGGGAGAGCACTGAATCAGATGAAGAAAGTTTTTGGCCACATGCTTGTGACCCAGATTCCTTTCTTAGTAGCTAGATTCAAAGGAGCAGACATCAGGCAGATTACAATGAATCATATCCCCAGTTAAGCTTTCAGGCAGAAGTCATTACACTCCAGAGACCTGTCATCAAGTAACAAAATTTTCACATAAAAGTGGAAAGCTGAATCTTAATAGCAAATACTATTTTTCATCTATTAAAGTATCTTAGTGTGTGCATACCTAATATCATAAGTTATTGAAATATGGAAGTGTTTCTTTCTTGTAAATTTACCTCATCTTCCTAAGAGAGGATTTGAATTTACAAAACAACCAGCTTCTGTTTCTTTTCCTGATGTAATTTTTGCAGAAAACACTTTCTAATTTGAAAAGTCATGCAGCTCTTACCTAGCACTCTAAGAAGATAAATCAGCAATATTTTCACAATAAAAGGCCAGAGGCCTTTTTTGCAAAGTTATGGAGAATGATATTATAAAATACCCTTACTAAGAGTGATTGCAAGCTAAACATTTATTTACCTTTTTGTAGCCTTAGCTAAATGCCGATTGCTCTAGAGGAAATAGAGTGACTAGGCAGCCTCAACAGCCTAAGTGGAACATTAGGAGAGTGTACCTGCATGACAATAAGAAGGTCAAACACCAAGATGAAAGAAGCCAAGAAGGCTCTTGAGACCTCATCACTTGGCAGAAATCCACGATTCAGTTTGTCCCAGCTGATCCAGTCAGTAGTGATGACAAGCACAACTACAGAGGTCAGAGTAAACAGAACTGTCCTGGAAGGAAGAAGAAAAAATAGTTCAGAGAGAATACGATAGTAATGAAGATGCATCATTCTATTTTATCTGTCTTCTAATGGTCAACTATTTTATCAGTACTTTTCTACTGATGAAAACAGACTAAATAAAATTAAGTGCACAAACAAATCTTTTAATTTAAAAAAGAAAGAAGTCAGCTGTATTCTTAGTGAAAATTAATTTAGTAGCTAGTTCTAAGCATATTGCAAAATTAGCTGGAGTAAAACACTCTGTTGCTTCATTCTGTATTTTTCACTGAAGATGAAAACCAGCTGGGTAAAACAAGAGAGAAGTAAAATGTACCAAGGCCTGCATGATCTAGGACAAATTCAAATCAGTTAATTGAGAGAACATTGTTGAAGGCTCCAGATACATTAGAACCTTTGAAAATCTTTTCTAAGCTGTAGGAGCTACAAGGCATTAACCGTGAAGTCTAATTTTTATACAGAAACATGTCTCCATAAAAAAAAATTCAATGCATTAAATTAGTTTTTAGTAAATTCTGGAGATTGTTGAAAGACTTTCCTTTGTGTTTTCTAAGATGTCATTTGTAAAAGTTTTCAATCTTTGAGAAGTCAGTGAAGAGAGAATCACAAGAATATTAAAGCCTCTGTATAAATGCTACAAGAATTCCAGAAGATACATTTGACTAATTCATACAATTCTGAAATACAGTATTTAAGAACATATCTTTCTAAGCTATCCCTGCAAAATACCTCTGCATCATTTCCAGCAGCACTTTGGTAATACCTTACAGAGCTGGCAGTAGTGACTGATTGAATTTCTCGTTCCCTGGAAGCTGGAAAATTTAGCTGGTAATTTAAGGGTGAGCAAGGCTTCTTCCAGTATCCATAGCTGTCAGTAAATCTGTGCTATAATAGTGGCATATCAAAATCTGAATGCATGCTAATGGCTAAATAATTGTGGCAGGATTTTTTTTTTTTGTACAGCAGTAATATCTCATTTTCTTCAGCTACCAAGTGTTGCAAAATAGAGTGAAGAATATTTCCCATGACACTTCCAAACAGGACAAATAGGAAAAAAAAAAAAAATAAAAAATCTGTACACCAGTAGTCACAGACTACCAGTCTGCATGCATTTATTTTTATACAGTAGCCTTGTCTGTATCTGTGAGAAGGGGAAAACAAATATGCACATAGGCAACAGTATGATACATTTGGACTCCTAAACATCATTCTTCTGTGACATGATGGGCTGCATTTCTTCAGAATGTAATGGCACACAAAATTACTTGATTGCTACCACCTTTACCTAGGAACATTTATTTTTGTTCTTAATTTATTAACTCAGTTACATGCACCACTATGGTTGACACCCTAACAATCTCCCTCAAAAGAATTACGAGCACCTAGGCAAGAAAAAAAACAATAAATGAGGCATATTATATATAATTAGACCTAAGTCTAATTAGATATAATTAGACCTAAGCAATAGTCAAGCCTTCTTATCCCATAACATTTGCTTAGCTACCATCTTTACAGTCAGTACCTGAACCTGACTGACTTTTCTACAAGCTCCACTTTGGCACATGCACAGAATAGTTTACTTTGGAAAGACAATTCTCTCCCTTGCATATAGTCTCTTGAGACACACAAAGGTGTTTTTTCCTACTTATTTCTACCTCATATCATGGTTAATGTTCTTACTTTACCGGAAAGTCTCTCCAGAAAGAAAACAATCCTCAGCACTTGCCTGCTGGTCGAGGCAGACTCGCCCAGCCACTAGGCACCCTGAATTTCCTTGACCTCTTTCTGTAGAACCACCTCTCCTGGGGCAGAGGAAGTTTAAAACCATAATTCAAATCTGAGTATTTTGCTATAGGAAGCAAATACCCAGAAGTTATGCTCAAGACTATTCTGCCTCAGTCCTCTTGAATTATGCATTTGCATTTTGGAGCAAGAGTTCAAAGCATGGAAGGTCGGACTTTGGCATGTAGGCAAGCAAAGGCAGGCATATTTTTATTCATGCTTTGTTGGCATGCATGCAAAGACCGATGTGTGTGCTCAAGTCCTGATTTCCTTGAGGAAATGCATATGCACTTAGAAAACTGCTTTGTTATTCATTCTGAAATGTCAAATAGGGAGGGAAGGGAGCAGAAAATGGGCTGCTAATAGAATAAGAAAATGTGAAACCAACAAGGAAGGTTAGAAATAGACTTTCAAAATGGTTGCATTAAACAGCATAATTAGTACTCAGTTGTATTTTGACCTATGATACTGGAACACAGCAAGATATTCAATAAATGCTTTTGGAGTTATTATAAAATGAGCTTGTTTGGGTTAGAGTTCAGTTCACTTCTTGTGAAAGTACAGTGTCCTGGAGATTAAGAAAAAAAGATGAGGATTTCATTTAACTTGACATAACTTGTATTGGATAAACCAGTGTGAGCTACCCTGCAATATCTAGCCCAGTATAGTTTGCCCTTTATTCTGTAATGCACATTATTGAGAAAGAGCTACACCATCAAACTTATTCACTGCACTGCTGGCAGTACCTCTCCTCATTACAGAAGGGGAAAGGCTACAAGGTGAAGGGCAAGAGAAGACTAACCCTTCTCTGTATCAGGCATTCAGAAATGGAATTTCTGTCTCTAGTTCATGAAGGAAATACACTTTTATATTTCACTTCTAATTCTAGCTTGCTGTATTGAATGATTATGTGCCCTGGACACCTATTCAGCTGCAATAACACACATTTTAAAACCTACTGCATACTCCTTAAGAGTGCAAATAAACACTGTCCAGACCAATAGCATACTGAATAGTTAAAATTATTAGGTAAGACCACAAAAGTCAGTACTGTGCTTATCACTGCCAGTGAATATTTTAAATCTCCAGTGCTACTCTGAATGGGGCGGGGGATAAAAAGGGGGAGGCTGCAAGAGAACTTTTACTACCAGAAACCTCTCAAAAATAAGTAATTTTTTTGACTGTATCTCTATAATAATCTTTGATTGCCAGGACTGAGTTTGGTCTTGAATTTGTTAAACCAAATCACTCATGCTAAACTGAATCCATACTACTGGTCCACTTGTCCAGAAGAGTAATCTGGTTTTCAAATACTTTTGGTAAGGTCCAAAACATATGCATCTTCCCTTCTGCCCCTTTCCACAACACTTTCTTGCACTATAAGCTTTGAGAAAACTGACCAACTTTAAAAGTATCATTCAGCATATTATACCTTATGAGAGGTTGTGAACCACATGGACCAGAAGCCTGAACAGGTTTTAGTCACTGGGGGTGGTTCTCTCATGACAGACAGGGTGACAACCTAAACCTTGTAGAGAGAAAACACAATGAACTCCTGTGACCTTATGTCCTGGATGCTTGGAGACACTCTGCTGTTTAGCATGTCCTCCCTTCTTCATAAGAAGATCATCCTCATCCTAAGCAGAGCCCATGAGGCCACAACTTGCTCTCTTGCAGCCCCAAGGCGGTACCACAAAAACACTCATAGCACATCCCCTCCAAACCTACACCAGAAGTACCTGTGACTCCATACATCCACACCTTCAGGAATCAGTGTTATTTGTCTGTACTGAGTGAAAAACTGAACAATTCAGAATTTGTCCCTGAAAAGATAAAAGCTAATAAATGTATACATGCTCACAAAACATTTAATGTTGGAAACAAGAACTGCTTCAAATCTGACTCTCATGATTCTTCATGTCTAAATCAGCAGGGCAAAATATACCAAAAATGGATTCTGGTCTGTGATGGAACCTCACTTCTCAAATTGCAACATTTAACAATTGTAACAAGAAAATGAAGTTTTTCAAAGGTTAAACACAATTCTTTGCACACCACTACGTTCCCTTTACTTTGTGACTTTGAGCTGCTCATTTTTAGAGTTATTTAGAATTTTCTTGTCTTACATTACCCTTTGCCAAATCTTTTACAATGCTACAGCTTTGATGATGAGACAGTAAGAGTTCTGTTAAGATAATTGAAGAGAAAGAAAGACAAACTGTAGTTATTTTCTTAATTTTCATTTCATCTTTTTCAAGGGGGAAAAAGAATTATCTTGCCCTTTGACAAACCTTTTCCAGAAAAAAACTACCTTGCTTAGTCAAAAGTTGCTCTTAGATTCGTATGACACAGCATTTTGAGATCTTTTCACCATAATTTTACACATAATTGTCAGTAAGCTAGGTCATTTGGAAATCATTAAACATTGTTAACAAGGATTCCAAGTATTGCTTAATACAAGGTTCGTGGAACACATGAGACAGAACCAAAGAAACTGCTCAGCCCCCCTCCTCAGGGCTGCCCTTTGTGGGAGTGGGGTGTCTGCCATTACTGATGTCCCACCCACATCACACATGCCAGTTCCTAGAATGTCTCTTCATTTCCCTGGGGTTTCCTCAACTCAGAAACCACCCCTCTCATATGTCACAATCCCTCATAATCCCTGCTGTGGAACGCACCTGCACTGGCACTGATTGCCTTGGCAGTTTCTCATGAATGTACCCAAATAGTTGCAAACGTCTTGTGAAAACAGATACAGAAAGGGAATGAGAAATTTTACTGCTCTTTGTATTTAAAAAGGCTTTCCAGTCCTCAGGAAAGAAAGATCATCCATCAAGTCAAATATATACATATTTTTTTATCTCAGAATCAGCCCTGGCCAAATATACAGTCACACAGTGTACAATAACTATAAAGAACAATGCTACTGCAGATGTTCATTTAAAAATGTCAACACTTTTTATTTCACTTTCTTTTAATTAAGAAGGGCTCTGTTATTTAATCTGTCAAAAATAGGAACTCTAAGCCCATTCAAAATAAAATATTTAGTCTGCCTGTTGCTTGGTGTCAGAACCACTTTTGCAATTAAGCAAATATAAGGGACAGATGCTCTGGTGGTGAAAAGCATCTGTGTTCCCTGGAGCAGCATAACTTCAAACCTCCAGCTGGCCACTGCTCTTCTGTCCCCATGGGACAGTGCTCTGAAAGAAG